GTCGAGTTATCGATGTACCTTATAGTTGACTATGAAGTTTGGACATCAATCTTTAAATCAATTTAAGTTATAGACTTAGTTATTTTCGACATAATTAGCAACAATATGTAAAACGTTTATCGTATGCACTTTTTTCCCTTGTTCTAATTACAACACTTTCATAGAATTAAAGTCAAGTTCTATGATTTGGAAAGATTTCGTTTTATATTCTTTAAAACACTTTAAGCTATAAATCCTTCAACTAGAGGTTAATTATGTTTTATGAGTGGACTTATGGTTTATTTTATAACTCCATGTAGGGTGCATTAGGCGTCCAGTTTACGAGCCGGCTCCGACACGGCGACCCGACGTGCGAGATCATTCGATACACACTCCCCTTACTGTATAGCTTAGCTTCGAGCTACCAATAGCTGTTAGTTCATTTATGTATTATATATAATAAACTACTGACCCCCACTAGCCGACGAGAAAGTTCACAATACGTGAAAGGTTATTGATGTGCAAGTAGGGTGATCTTTTCATAGATTTATTTTTATTTTAGGTTAAGAAAGATTTGTTGTTATGAGATTAGCGAGAGCTTATATTAATATGGTAGAAATATTTAAAGCGAACAAATTATTTAAAGTATCTTCTAGTAAGATACATAACTGAAGTCACTAAATTGCTAAGTGGTCGCAAGTGCGACTGCCGGGCAAGTGGTCTCGGGTTCAATTCCCGGGTAGGGCAAAGGATTACTGGTTTTTTTTTTAAATAAACTCAGTGGTAACACGGAGTCTGGAAATGTTCGGTATATAGCAATAGGCGCACCCCCTATTACATGGGACTCATAACATAGATAGTGAAAAGTGGGTGTAACATTGTATAGTGGCATTATGTTGCGTAATGTGCACCTCTGCCTACTCCTTCGGGTGTAAAAGGCGTGCTGTATATATATATATTATGTTATCTTACTAAATTGTGTTCTATAGACAAATCCGATTTAGAGAAAATGTGACCTTGAAATTTAATCTATAAGTAATAGCGTTTGTACCTTGCTAGAAAATCATTGCATTTCTAATTAAGACTTAAAAAAATAATTCAAATAACACAGCGTTTTACTCAAAACTCCTACTTTACACACAGACACACACACACACACACACACACACACACACACAAAAACAAGTCGACAGACCCACAAAAATGAGAACAGTTTGGCTTCATAAACAAATGGGTAACAGTCCCTAAGGCCCACATGTTTCGACCATTTACGTCCCCAGAGCGAGTAAAGAGATAAATTGAAACTAAAACATTTGAACATACTGTAATAAATTTAAAAGCAAATTAGTTTTCAGGCCAAGCTGCCAGTATTATTTTATTAGTGAGAACAATATGAAATATTATGGTGAATGTTAAATAGCGAACATTTGTTTTATTTTGTTTGTGGAAGGAAATAGCTAGGGTTTGTGTTGTTTTAAATTGACTTTAAATCTGTATTGTTTTAGACTGATCTGGGGAAGGTTTTGTATCATGATAACATGGATGATTATTATCGATTATTTTTATAAAGTGTTGCAACTAAGTACTTTCAGGATATACTGGATTTGATCTCTAGACCAACCATTGGATTTCAAAATGAGAAAATTCGTCCCAACTTGTTTTGTATTGCTAAATTCATATATTCTTCTTTAGTGAGGAAAAGAAAATCCTACATAACACACCTATTGATTACCTATGATTTCTATTCGTGTTCCTTATAACATTACTTTTAAGTTGGTACCTAAATTATATTCCACCCCAGAAGTTTTTTTCTGACTGACAGACTGCCTCGTTGTCCGAGTGGTCGCAAGTGCAACTGCCGGGCAAGGGATCTCGGGTTCGATTCCCGGGTCGGGCAAAGTACTACTGGGGTTCTAAAAAATTTTCCGTAGTAGCACGGAGTTTGGAATTGTGCCAAGTATATGGCAATAGGCTCACCATCTATTTACATGGGACTCGTAACACAAATAGTGAAAAGTGGGTGTTACATTGTACAGTGGCATTAAGTGCCGTAATGTGCACCTCTGCCTACCCCTTCTCCTTCTCCTATCCTATCCTTCGGGGATAAAAGGCGTGATATTATGGTTTGTAAGGTTTTTTCTTTATTTATTAAAGACGGTTTCATCACGAAGTGAATATGTCTCTTCGACTTCAGAAGTTGAAACTTACGTTATTCATAAATCCCTATTACCTTTAAGTCCCTCACATAACTCATTCTCCCATACTCACATACCACAAAACTCACCACGTTCCCACTACTGGGCATATACAAAAACCAAAGACGGATATCCCACCGTACAGGCACGTACAATATTGCCTCCGTGACGTCATTTCACCTGATTCCATTCACACTTTAATATGACTAAAATGTTACGGATTAAATGTCATAGGTTGTGTGGCTTCATAAGTAGGTTATGCTATAAAATGTTTTGTGAAAAAAGGTAGGAAAATAGACCTTAAAAATGTTAGACAAAATTTTGAAATTTTGCGGTCGTTTCATATAATTATGTATATCAGAAACAACAGTAAAAACGTTAATATTGTATGCATTTTCTTTAAAATATAATAATATATTGCAAACACCTATATTAAACGGTGTAATTTACGTGTAAAATTCAATAACAATCTTTACAAAAAAGTTAAATCTGTAATAAACAATCTTAAAGTTACGTGATACCGGTTATTTGTTAATGTTGATTTAATATTTACCTCTATAATCTAATTACATAATAAACCGTCATGTTTTAATATTAAAATTTTACATTATCATGTCAATGAAAATAAACTTAGAATAATATGAAAGCTAAATTAAAAACGAAATATTGCATTGAACCGCTAACCTAGACAAGGTCATAAACGACATTTTCGTTAATCTCCGGTAAAAATTTAATACTGGGTACTACAATACTTCAATACACAAAAAACAATTTAATATCTTGAATATAAAACAAATATTTGATTAAAATCGTAGCGCCTGTTACAAAAGTAATAATTTGAATAATTAAAACTTTGCTCTGTTATTATTGTAAGGCGCTATAGGCTAATTCTAGGTTGAAAGCTATCGTTTGTCTATCCAATTGTGTATTTTATATTTTTATAGTTATGATAAAATGTAGCAAAATTATTTAGGTTAAGTTCAATTGCAAAAAAAAAAAATTTAGTTAACTTGAATCTGTGTCAGTATTTCGTGCCTGACATTTTCTTTAATGCGTCATTAGACGGATCATATTAAACGAATAGTTAAATATAATTTAAAAATGCCACATGTAATTAAAAACAGAACTAAAAAGTGACTCAATAGGCTGTGCGACGTCGCCGCGAGCGCGCACGCTGCTCATGAGGAAGAGTTCACCTGTAGCTCGAAACTAGTAGAGCTTTTCTCAGTATTCAGTATTTATATGAATAATTCGTGATTTTTAGTTAAAAAAAAACAATAACAATTATACACAATAGGTAAGTACTTACTGGGAATTACGAAAAAGAATATCACTTCAAAAATCAAAGAAACTCCTCATTATATTTAATACCTGTCTAATTAGCACAGACAAACCAAATCAAACAACAGAACACTAACAACATTAATTAGTAATGATAACAAGGTCCTTCAATTTCATCACACTGCTTAGATTTGACCCTTCATTAAACATTTTATTAGTTACTAGAACATAGTTTACGCGTGGTACAGGTACATGGCAGTAATACAAATCCTGACAGTTGTCAAAAATTCAATCGGTAATTTTTCATGTAAAAGATGTTATATACTTTTATCATGTGGAAAGTCTGCATACGAATTCGAATCAAAGTTAGCATTCAGGCTCGATGCGAAAGAATAAATAACGCACTTTAAGACTCGCTAGTGTCCTACATTAAAATTTAAGCATTGGAAAGTACTTTTGTATTACTATTGAAAATAAAATTAAATACCAACTATATTATTTAGCACAACTCAAATAATACTTTATAACAAGAGAGGAGATCAAAATTGCATTTTCATATTCATAAGGGTAGAGACACAATTTATCCTCCACCTTTACAACTAAAAGTTCGAAAAATATGTCTCCTGTCCCACAAGGCTCTAACTCGCCAAGAAACAATTTTAACTTCTACATCAACTGCACACTGTCATACTTTTAGTTTTCCTAATAAATTAGTAGTACTTTATCTTAGTGTCACAACTTTCGAAGTTAGTAAGGTCTAAAACAGGTAAACTAGAGCTATGTTTATCCATCTATTTTGTAGGGGAAAGTTTGGGGATCGTTGTTGTGAGTTCATCCTTAAGTTCATCCTTCCTATCTTAAGATTGGAGTGCTTGTAAACGCGAATTATGTGTTAGTAAGTGGTAGGAAGGATGTTGCTAAGGAGTGTTTGTGGTTGGGTTCCTGGATTTCTGATAGCAGATGCTAGTATTGAAATTCTAACGCCCGAATATTGAAAGGCTATTTAATTTTAACAAGTGTGGTGGGCCGGCTCAACAGGAGTGATACCACGGCCTCACAGAAAACTGACGTGAAACAACGCTAGCGTTGTGTTTTGTCGTGTTAGTGAGGTTACCAGAGGCCCAATTCTCCCCCTCCCTCCTCCCCCCTCCCCAATTGCTGAATGCCCATCAATCCTCAAGTTCCTAATCTCAAAAGGCCGGTAATGCACTACAAACGCCTCTGGTGTTCCAGGTGTCCATGAGCGACGCTGATTGCTTAACATCAGGTGATCCGCCTGCTCGTTTACCGGTTTATCCCAGAAAAAAGAAATATAATTATAAACCTTTGTAAATTTTTGATTGAAATAAATAATATTTTTGATGCATTTAGCTGATTAATCTTGTAATTGATACTGTAATTTATAAAGTGTATTTTAAACACAACTCACTTTAATCAAGTAAATACCTACATTTGAAAATTAAATTGACTTTACAGACATTTAATTAATCCTGTCTAATCAGACACAACTAAATTACCTAAAACAATTATTTTTGGAGCTGAGCCCTTATAAACAATATTTTAGAGGTCGCAGTGAATTTTAAATTAAATATTATCTTGCAATAAAACTAAATTATTATTTACTTACTATTATTTATTTTTACAAAATGTTAATATATAAGTTTGCGAGGGCATTTAATAAAGAGTCATCGAATTTAATGAAAAGTCGGCATTGTGCAGTCGCTTAAACAAATAATGCCATTCGACCAAACCTGGCTAATATTCGGTGCCAACCCAGTCGTGGAGGAAAATGTTACAGTCCTTTTTATAACTTCTGTAATTAAATGCAAATCACACCCTGTATCAATCCGCATGTTTTTAAAGAAGTAAAACACTACATTATCAGTTAAGAAGTGACTAGTGAAAGACTTGATAATATTCAAGTTTAAGTAGTATATGTGTTTAAGTCAAACAAAGACAACATGGACTTATATTCACTGGCGGAACACAATGGCGTATCAATCCTCTCAGTTTCACACAATTTAGAAAAGTCAACGTCGTACATATTGGACTTCGTATCAGGCTTAACCATTTGTATAAACCGATGGCCCCATAAAATATCACACTCTGTATAACTCGTTCGTGCTTGTACTTGTTGTCCTGTAGATTCAATGACACCTTCAAACACTGCCAATATCTCGAACTTTCCAACTAATAAATCTGCTGCAGAGATACTGTACAAAGGACTCTTTTCATCTATCACATGTATCACCGACACTGGCCATAAGAAAAATGTTGTTTCACAACCATCTAGTTCCACTTGCATTTCTGTTTGTTCATAATTCTCATCGTAGTCATCTCCAAGTTTCAAAACAAACACTGACGCTTTAATATTGAGTATCCTTGACTTCCTCATGTCTCCTACCCTGAATATCATGCAGAGTTTCCCATCTCTCAAAGTCACCACCGCCTGTCTGCTGAAGAGAATTGTTTGCGTCCTACCTTTTGGTCTTGTCAGCTTCGCAAAAAGAATCCCAACCATGAACGCTTGGAAAATTGAGCAGACCATACATTGAAAACACATGGCAGTAATAGTTTGAGGACATTCTAAAGTTATGGCTCTTTTCCCATAAGCCACTGTCGTATGGACTTCAACACTGAACAGGAAGGTTGAAGTAAACCCATAAATATTTTCAACACAAGGGGTCCAGTTGGATTGGTTCTGGTTTGGAGGTAAATGATCCTCAGTCAGGTCTCCATGTGCCAACGCGATGACCCAGTAGATGAAGCCGAAGAACAGCCAGTCTCCAGTAAAGGCTAAGAAGAAATGGACGAGGGTCCACCTCCAGCGAGCTTCCACCATGGTGACGAACCATCTTGAGAAGAACCCCTGGTGGTTGGTGTTGCCTTTATCAATGTTGAAGTCACCGTTTTTGAAGACGAATCTTTTTGTCTGTTTAGTTGGTCTGGTCCGCGACTTTTGACTGTGGAGAGGCCCTGGAAATATTATTTAAGAATGATTATTAACTTATCAGCAAGAACTAGAAGTAGCTGTATCAGTATTAATTTTAGTTGAATAAACAATATAACGTTTGTCATTTAATTTAGAGGTGAATTTGCTTTGTGTCTGTCCTCTATTTGTAGTTTATTGTCATCATGTTTATCTAAATCATTGAAATATCGTACGATGTTACATTGTAGTATCTAAGTGTTACTTACTATTTTTGGGATAGTAAACACCGGGTTCTAAAAATATTGCTTCTGTTACAGAATTTGAGTCAGTATCATCAAACTGTTCGTTGAGACTTATTAAATCTTGTTTTTCATTCATGACTGTTTTGAGCTGAAACAAAAATGTAAACATTTTATAAATATCTTCTTTCCTTTCATTTGTTGAGCCCTGAGGTTGTTGAACTTGTAAACATATTCGTTGCAAAAGTTTCATTTTGATAAAAATATAGATGAATAAAAATAATGTTTAAGTTTCTAGGGCGCCTGCCTAGTTTAAAGATTAATTAGAAGTATTATTTAGAAAAAAAAGTATTATTTAGAAGAGGCAGTGAGATAACATGAGTTGTTGACAATGAATGAAACCTTTATTTATATGTTCATCAAAATCACACAATAAATATGTCTAATAATTGCTTGAAGATCTCCAAAAAGTAAAAATAAAACACAAAACTTTTACATAAAACCACTCAAAAGGCTAACGACACCTCTCTTTAGATAAATTGACAGATTTGCCGTTCCATTGAATAGTGAATTGAATGTTGTGTGTAATTTCTCACTAGTCCCTTTTCAATGGAAACGGCGCACACGAGGTATCAGTTTGCACAGCAAAGTACCACCGTTTGTTGCAATGCATTCAGTTGTAGTTGTTAATGACGTTTCGAAAGGGCTATATGTTTGTTACAAAATAACGAAGGTACGTCTTATTTTCATCAAATATTAATTTTGATCCTTATAACCAATTATTAAAAATATTCGCGTCGTATTTATGCTGAATGCTAAAAATCTAAGTAAGAATTTGCCCACCTAGATTTGTCATTATTAGGTTCATATTGCAATTATAGATATACTGTTATTATATTAGAGGTACATACGACTTTCTGCCAGAGAAGTAAAATTACTATCTTATGCAGGGTACATCATACCTTATGATTTTATTGTGCAATTTTAATTGTACAGTCGAACTGTTCAGTTAAATCGTAGTTCCATACAATCTTAAGTATTTTTTCTAGCCACGTGTAAAGTTTATTTTTATTACCAAGATGAACCTTTTGATAATTAATAAAGTTTGGTATTAATAATTTAATCGAATATATTTGTCTCTTACCTCCTGTCAAGTAGTTTTATAGTCAATAAGGTTGGATCTCCAAAAACACATGTACACAATCTCTCCTTGCATGGAGCTCGCAATGTCTATCATTCTTGCAAAGCCACCGCCAACTGATATCGTTATCTCGAGATTTTCAACTGTAATTAATGTAATATATAGAGGTGTGACATAGTTGGGGTTTGTTTCTTCATTTGTTGGGTATTTATGGAGTTGTCCCTAAAAGAGGATAATTAACTTTTTTAGACTAGAAAAAAAAATGTTGTTTGTTTTGGTATGTTTATGGATTTTTGGATTATCGATCTTTTTGTCGAATAAGGCCTAATTGTATTTGATGGATGCGCACTATGCGCTTTAGTTGAGTTGATTTGCAGTGAAGTGGGTGGCTTCAGTGCCTAAGTAACAAAGAGAGTGTAGATTAATAAGTTTTAGATAAAAATTCAAGTTAATTTTATAATTTTACGTAATTACAAGATCCCTTTGCTACTCTCTTCTGAAAAACAAATGAACAAACAGACTGACACACAATAATGATGTCAACATAAACTTTTACGTATTATAAATAGAATATTTTATTTGAACTTGCTACTACACAACGAGATAAGAATTCCATGACGTATTAATTAATATTTGTTTTAACTTACGACAAGATTTTAGAAGATAAAATTATTTAGTCAAAATTGTGCAAATTGTTCAGGAGAGGATTAAATTATTTGTGCTCTGTACACAAAATACTTACTTAGTGATATTTTCTTAGCTGTGTTAAGCCAATTATATGCGCATATTTGGAGGAAATTTTTATTACGGTTGGATAATGACGTAGTATTAAGGGGCCTCAATATGAAATATTCTTCATTATTTTATAATTAATTGTTCGATAAACCAAGGCAGTACATTGGATGCATTTGTCATTATCAGTAATCTTCGACCTAACTTGAACCTTTTAAACCTCTTAGCTACCTTTTTTGGAGGCAAGAGAGAGTATTAGACTCTTCCTTTTTTTTGGATAATCCGGTAAACGAGCAGATGGATCACCTGATGGTAAGCAATCGGCGCCGCCCATGGACACCTGAAACACCAAAGTTACAAGCAAGTGTGTTATCGGCCTTTTGGGAATTGGGAATTTGAGGATTCGGGAATTCAGGAGACTGGGGAGGGGGGTAATTGGGCCTCCGGTAACCTCACTCACATGGCGAAAGTTGTCAGCGGCTCCTGATTGGGCATCAGCCCTACTGCGCCCCATATCTCATAGCGCAGTAATAGACTATTATGAAGTGTTGGTGAAGATTACGCAGATGGTGGTGGTCGTATTTTGCTGTTAATATTATACTTTTTAATGTTTTTTAATCATATCAAGCTGAAGAATTTGTTTGCATGTTTGAATGTGCTAATTCGAAACTACTGATCCGATTTGAGTAATTATTTTTGTATTGGATAGCGCATTTATCGAGAAACGTTGCAGGATATAAAATATCACGCTACAATCAATAGGCGTCAAACAGAGCAGGACAAACCTTGAGGGAGTAACTTGTCATAAAATAATACTAAAACATAAGTAAAACATTACCTTTAGTTATCACAGCAAACAATAGCTTCTACATTTTCTTTTATTCAGTCGCTTGTTTCAATTAATTTCCTTCAGCCCCCACTATCAGCTTTCTCGACATAAATACCCGTGGAACTACAACCATTTATTAGATATAAACACTGCTAACATTATGAACTTATCGGCGAACGACGAGGAGGATAAAAGGCTTGCCGCGTGATCGACCTCCCCTTTCCCCCTTATCGTATCGCGTAATTCATTACGACATTATCTTACTCAAGAAATTGTTTGGAAAACATCAACGGTATAGATCGATGGTAAAGTGGTGTATGTGTTGATTGTTCAGTGTTCCTTGTACGTCCTATATTTGCTATGTTAGTACATATGTTTTATGAAAATTTGCTGTACTGTATGTGAATAAGTAGACAACTATGAACCTATATATGCAGGCAGTTACAAGAGGCAGTTTTTTTTTAATATTCTTAAAAGTGAAATGCTCGTTCATTTTTTTAGTATCATTATTTTTTGGTACCTATACATAGTCGTTATTCAGTAAAACCGATGTGTTTGTGCATTACAAGCATTTTTAATGACATAACATTACGCCTTTTACCCCCAAAGGAGTAGGCAGAGGTGCACATTACTGCACTTAATGCTACTTTACAATGTAACACCCACTTTTCATTATTTATGTTATGAGTCTCATGTAATAGGGGGTGAGCCGATTGCCATATAGCGGGTACAATTCCAGACTCCGTGCTATTACTGAGTATTTTTCAAACCTAATAATACTTTGCCCGACCCAAGAATCGAACCCAAGACTCCTTGCCCGGCAGTCGCACTTACGACCACTCGGTCGACGAGGCAGTCGTAAATTATAATGCTTTTAAAAATATTGGTACAACACCCTTCTGTGAATATTCTCACTTACCCCCAGAAGGATTGATATCTACACGATCCAAAAACATATTTGTTGACAATTTACTCAGTAGATTATGAAAAATGCTCCAACGTGACTTATAACCGTTTATCACCGCACCACATCCAGGAAAATCCGGGTGAAAAGGGATTCTGACAGATGACGAGCAATCCCTCTACAGGGTGTTTGTCATTCTATTAGTAAGGAAAACATTTTATAGCTATCCTCCTAACATTTTGGGAACGGCTCGATTAATTGGGAAATTAAATAGGTTATGGTATTGAAATGGCGGAAAAATAGTCATAACATAATAAATACGTATTGTTTAATAGGATACCTGAATATAGTCTTAAATAAATAAGTGAAGCTAGCTGCCACGATATTCATTACAATTTTGCATAGAAAAGTAAACTTTCATTATTTCGAGACTTTTATATTATTGCGACCTATAAATAAATTTTCCATTGCAATAAATTGCGTCCTTGACATAGTGTAATGAAAAAATCAATCAACATTTCAGCAAAGTTATTTGCCCAACAAACTACAATATTTGACATTCAAGAAACCATAAAAATGAACAAATTACACGGCAGTTCTAAATAATTACAACTCGGTCCCTCACGACATAAACACACTGGCCGAGCACCCGTCCGCTCGGACGATATTACGTCGCCATTACTCAGAAACATAAAAGGCCTGAAAACATCATAAAACTCGGAGACACTTAGCGTCGTATTTATTATCAAAAAAAAAAGCAACACAAAACATCCTTTACTTATAAACTCGGGCATAAAATGAAAAGGTTTTCCTAATATTAACATAAGAATTTCATCAACCGTTTTCTCCGAGTTTGGCCGAGTTTGTCCGATGTTCTCCGAAGGCGGGTGAGTCCGTAAGTGTCCGAGCATCGCTCAATGTCCAGTCGGATCTCATATCCGGACAACCCACCCGTTTTCAGTAACGACTAGCGTAAACTATTCAATGCTCTTGGCGAAATGGTCTCATGTTGCTACCTAGTAGTAAGATCCAAGCATTTGGTGGAAACTGTTTCAGCTTTTGTTATGGTTTAGACATTGTTTTCTTGTCATTTGACTGCCTAACATACTATGCTTCTAAATACTCAAAATCGAAAAATAAATAATTGATTAATTATTTAATGTCGACGACAACAGGACAAGTAGGCTGCACGACATCGCCGCGACCGCTCACGCTGCTTATGGGGAAGAATCCCCTTGTGGTTCGAAACTAGTAGAACTTTTCTCAGTATATTCACGTGAGTAACCCGCGAGTCAGTTTTATATGCTGTTCAAAAACTGGTTAAAGACCTCGAGATATAGAGAAGCAAGCTATTACTTTTATTAAAATGTAAGCATAATGTTTTGCTTCGTTTTATTTATAAGTATATTTTTTTAGACAGTTTTTATTCTTTAGAGTTAGTATTTAATTTATTATATTGTTCTAACTTAGAACTGGTTCAATGTTGATTAATTTTCCTTTCGAAGCCGAACTAGTTCGGACAGCTAGAAGATTAAAGAGTTAGTCCTATTGTTAAGAACTTTACTGTTAACTTTGAAGGCCGTGTTTCAATAATTAACTTTATTCTATCCTTTTAAAGTTCAAATTTATTTTACTTTAATGATTTTCGAGTATAAGTTTGTCTAATAGGTACTGTGTAGTATTTTGTCAAGTTCAATTTTGCAAATACATAACGCCTTTAATGTTTTTATTTTAATTTGTTTTGTTTATTATAAATCAATTACGTTATATCGACTGCTTCGTTGGCCGAGTGCGACTGCCGGACAAGGGATCTCGGGTTCGATTCCCGGGTCGGGCAAAGTATTACTGGGTTTTTAAAAATTCTCAGTAGTAACACGGAGTCTGGAATTGTGCCCGGAATATGGCAATAGACTCACCCCCTATTACATGGGACTCATAACATAAATAGTGAAAAGTGGGTGTTACATTGTACAGTGGCATAATGTACACCTCTGCCTATCCCTTCTGGGATAAAAGGATTGATGTTATGTTAATTACGTTATAATTTATTCATCAATTCATGCATCACATTGAAAATAGATTTTCCCTAAAACAAAAAGTGGTTTCTTTACTGGAGCATTGAAGATCTGACAATATGTTTATGTTCGTATGGAGTATGTATGGAATGTATATGTAGAAAGTTTCTAACTGATCAACAATTACGCATACATAACATTAAATAAAAATGAATAATTTCATAACAGTAATTTGCAGTGCTATAAAAAACACAATCGCTCTTCCAGTTTGAGCGTCGCCTCTCGTGTAAAATTTAAATAAAACGCTTACAAAAAGTTAAAAGTACTAAAACTGGAGAATTTCTCTAATAAGTTATTCAATGCAAGTCCGCCGTTCAACGCATTCATGGCTATTATCCAACCTTAAAATTTCATCTTTCCTCTGGTGAATGTTCTTGTGATCCTGTAAGAGCGAGGCCACAGATACACTAGGCAAGAAATTTTTAAATCATGATGTTACTTATTTCACAATATGTTTGTTGTTTTCGATAATATTCCGTGTAAAGAAAGAAAGTTCCGAAGCAAAAGTTCTTGGGTTCAGGTTGTTTTCAGGTTATCGAAAATATCTCAGTGATAGCATGGAGTCTGAATTTGTGATCAGTATAATGGTGACAGGTGACAAAGAGGTTCAGCATTAATGGACTACATTGTGCAACGCTTTCTATTTATGTACAAATTTAATTTAATTTGTCTTTAGCCTGTTTTCATCAAGGGCACGTCTCTCCATACACACACACACACACAAACGAGCTTAAATATTAACTGACTTCAAAAAAATACTGCCGGGCAAGGGGTCTCGGGTTCAATTCCCGGTCGGGCAAAGTATTACTGGGTTTTTAAAAATCTCAGTAGTAGCATGGAGTCTAGAAATGTGCCCGGTATGTGGCAGTAGGATCACTCCCTATTAAATGGGCCTCAAAACGTAAATAATAAAAATTGGGTGTTACATTGTACAGTGGCATTAAGTGCCGTAATGTGCACCTCTGCCTACCCCTTCGGGGATAAAAGGCGTGATGTTATGGTATGTTATGTTCAAAAAAAGAGATATTCAGTTTGACCTATATGTGTATTTGTGTGCGATTATCTCGCGATTGCGTGAACCGATGTTGATGCGGTTTTCAGAAAAGTGTTTCTTACACTTCGCACCCACTTTAAGGATCGAAAGGTGAAACATTATTTTATATTTTACACAGCTGGTAGTACAGTTTCATCTTTACAAAAGGACAGTTTCCCACGTACCCGCTTTCCTACAACAGGCACTGTGTTTGGTCTGATCTTGTTAAACCGCCGTGTTTTGTTCACAGACTGTACGCTCTTGTTTTAAAATGCTTGCACAAACAATTGTTATGCAGATCTATGGACGTTCCCATTTACTTTATTTTTAAATAGCCTTTTTCTATTAATGTTGTTAGTGTACGACGTTTCTTTACTGGTAATAAAAATGATCAAGTGTTTCATTCAATGGGCATCTTATTGCTTTGTAAGTACTCGTAAGTATTTATTACCAGTTTGAGCGTGTCGTGTATCACACTATTTCAAAATACCTATAACATAAATGATAGCGATGTTTTAGACTCGATCATAAGTATCGATTTTTTCTAAATACATCGGCTACAAATTTACCTAAAAACATAACATTTATTCCCTAAGAGGTAGGCCTCTGCCTACCTCTTAGGGAATGTGCACACTACGGCACTTAATACCACTGTACAATGTACCATTTGCAC